CATCGCGTAAAAATCCCAATTCGATGCCAAAAAATCCAAAACTATCCAAATGTTATATAAAATAATTAATACATGTTCGAAAATTTGAAATTAGACTATTAAATAAATTACCCTATCCAAAATGATAAATTCCTAAACTTTACCCCGGTCCCACGTGCCCGAATTCCGGAACTTTTCAGAGGAAAATGTTGCTCATAATCTCAAAAACTCAAATATATAATTTCCATCCAATTCCATAACCATTTTCGTGGTTAAAATCTCATTTTTATCAAAACCTAGGTTTTTTATCTAAACCCTTGATTTCCACGATTTATAGGTTATAATCTACCCATAATCTATGTATTTAACTCAAAGCGTGTAGAATTAACTTACCTTCAAGTTGCTAGTTGAAATCCCCTCTCAAAAAGCTCCAAAATCGCCTAAAAATGGAGGAAATATGGACTAAAAACGACTGAGCCTCGCCCCTTTTTAACATTCTACCCAACAACCTTTTTCGCACCTGCGGAGGGCTAGCCGCACCTGCAGAAAAAAGCCTCGCAGGTGCGAGTTTCCATCCTGGCCAAGCTCCGCATCTGCGGCCCAAGGAGCGCTCCTGTGCGTTCGCTTTTGCGCCGATTTCTCCGCACTAGCGGCCCTAGCCGCTTCTGTGCCCTCATGCATCGCACCTGCGCGCTCCCAGGTGCGCCAAAATGTCGCTTTTGCGATCCCTGGCAGTCCCCTTCTTGGACGCTTATGCGGCTCGTGGCTCGCTTCTGCGAGCTCGCACCTGCGGCTTGCCAAGCGCAGGTGCGATTGTAGCAGAAGCTGGAAGTTTCAGCTGCTACTGCACTTTCCAAAATTGGTCCGAGCCTCGTCCAGTTAACTCCTGAGGCCCCTGGGGCCCTGCTCGAACATACCAACAAGTCTGAAATCATAAAACGGACTCGCTTGAACCCTCGGAATGTGTAAAATAACATCAAAACTAAGAATCATACTTCAAACCAGATTGATTCAACTTAGAAATTTTAAATTCTTCAAACTTACTTTGAACGCGCCGAAATATACTTATACTACTCGGAATGACATCAAATTTTGCGTACAAGTCTTAAATCACCATACGGAACTATTTTCAGGCTCAGAATTTCAAACAGACTTCAATTACTCCAAAATCTACTCCAAACCAAATTTAAAGAACATTAAACTTTTAAATAGTTGGTTTTCACTATTAAACGTCGAAACGTTCCCGGATCGTCCAAAACCCGAGTCGAACATACACCCAAGTCTAAAAACTCATACGAACCTATTGGAACCGTCAAATTCCGATTCTGGGGTCATTTTCTCACAATGTTGACCGAAATCAAACTTGGGCTTTTAAAGCCAAACCAAGGAACCAACTGTTCCGATTTCAACCCGAACACTTCCAAATCCCAAACCAACCATCCCCGCAAGTCATAAATTAGTGAAAGCACATACATGGAGTTTTATTTAGGGGAACGCGGTTCTAACAGTCAAAACGACCGGTTAGGTCGTTACAATAAATACGAACGAATGATCAAGGATTTACAATTAATTGAAAACAAAAAATTAAACTAAATCCTAAACTCAAATGAGAAAATACAGAAATAACGAAAAAGGGGAAAAGAACTCTGGGACGTTCGACGCCAAATCGAGCAACGAGACAATATTGTGGGTGCTAAATGATGGTTGTCCGACCCCGAGATGCATGTTTCTTTTTAGCAGACGCTAAACCAATAGATTCCAGCGTCTTGCCAAAAAGAAACAAGTGCCTTTAGGTCGAAAAAAACTAAGACGGAGAAGCAGTGATGGTTTGGTATTTTAGGGGTCGTAGTGTGGCGTGGGGCGGAAGTGAGGTGTTCGGGTCGGCGGTGACGGGGATTTTGGGGGTAAAAAGGGTAGGAAAGGATAGATCTTATGTATGTATTACAGGGTGTGGAAGGTTAGATCTCGCTGAATTTAAGGTGGCGGCGGCTATGGTTTCTCGGTTTAGGTGTAGATTTAGCGAGATTGAGGGTGATTTCAGAGATTTGAGTTTTGGGTATGAGTAGAGGATGAAGATAGGAGAAGATTGGTGTAATTTGGGGGTGTTTGGACAACGGCTGTCGTCGGTGGGCAATTTCCGGTGGCCGGCGCCGCCGTGGAGGACGCGAGGTAGTAGATGTGGGGTAGAGAGAAAAGAGAGTGTGAAGAGAGAGGGGGAGAAAAGAATAATCGGGGAAATAGGGGCAATTTTAGGGTTTTAAGGCTTTAAATACATGGGGTGGGGATGGATAGGGGCAGTCAGATTAGATGAGATTGAATGGTTGAGATGGAATCTCAGCCTACTAATCAAAACAACGTCGTTTTGATGCGTACAGTTGGGGCATTGAGCTGGGCGGCTCTGGTGCTTTGGGCCGCCGATTTTGGTCCTTTTTTTAGCCAATTTTGGCCTTAAAATGACAAGACCAATTCGTTTAACCCCATTATTTATAACTATTTAAAAATTTAATTCTAAAATCTACAAACAACACAGATAATAAACCTTAAAAATGTGTAATGTAGGAGAAAAGAAAGAGAAAAAATTAGGTATTTACAATATGTAGTAATTAATCGAATTTATATTCCAAAATTATAAATTTTTAGTGACATTCATATTCCTAGCATCTTCGAGAATTAGGCCAATTTTATCTTCTCGGTAGTTTAACCGTGCACACTATTAACTGTAGTTATATCTTTCTATATTAAATTTGATTAGTCGTAAATATTCTAGTCTCATGTGTCTAATTTTATGCAATTCTTTTTTCATTAGAATTTTTCTCAATACAACATTACACGTTTATAGAAAATAGACATGCTAAATACGGATATTTCTCATGTAATATACTAAATACATTTATAATATAAATATAGTACTTATAAAAAGCTACAACAACATCATTCAACGTAATTACAAACTTGAATTGATAGCTTGATCACTATGTAAAAACCCACAAGAACTTTTGGCACTACAAAAATCTTAAAAGATGTTTATTATCACAAAACTATGAGAATGATTTAAAAGTTAGAAAACTTACCTCAAATTCTTTTCCCCCTTTTTAACTACAGAAACTTTGACCTCTTTAATTGCATATTAAATAGTGATATTAAATAATGGGTCTCTTACTTACTGTCTTATTCTTTTTCCTTTTCTTAACCTACGAAAAGCTTGCCTCAAGGTTTTACTTTCCTACTTCTTCTCTTCTTCTTAATTTTTCCTTTTTATTTTTAACTTCATTTGTTTGTGTTTATAATTTTATCCATTATAGAGTGCATTTCGTCAAATGTCTTCGTACTTTTAATATAGTATAAATTTTTAAATTAACAACTTTAAATTTAGAAACATCAATGAAAACCTAAATGGAGCCAAAATATTTAATGTTTATCACCAAGATTAATCTATAAAAGATTATTTTATTTTTTAAAATGATAAAATTAACATGGCTACAACAGAAAATCACCAAGTTTCATCACTTCAAATTAATCTAAAAATTCCTTTTAAATATGAAAATGAGAATATTTCGCGGTGAGCAACTATTTGATCTTAATATTGATATACATACAATAACCGAATATATTCCATAAATGAAAGTACTTCTCAAATGCCTTAAAACAATAAGAAGCATTAAAAGTTTTATATCAAATACATAAAAGAACGTATTGCCTATGCATTAAAATTGTACATTGAATTAGGTATCAAGGGGAAACATCAATTATCTTGGACCAAGTTTTAGCGCTAAAACATAAATTTATTTTGGACTGGAGGGAATAGTTTTCTAAAACATAAATTTATTTTGGACTGGAGGGAATAGTTTTAATTACTTAATTGTATTATGTGTTACTTTAATTTATCCATTCTCTTAATATCTTGGACTGGATGCTCAAATGCTTTCACGTAGTATCAGAGTGAACTATAATAAAGTTGTTTTCACAAAGCCTACTTTGCTCTCGGTCACTCTTAGCCTACTCTCTCTACTTCAAGCACACTTAAAATTTTTAAGAAATAGAAAAATTAAATCGTAAATATTCTATCCACATGAAACTTTGTTACTGGGTTAAACATAAACATATTAAAGTGTGTTAGTGAGTACACATATCCCTTATTAGTTGTATAGTGGTTTATGATCTGTTCATAATTGAAGCCATGAATGTTTTATTAGCAAAAAATGATTTAATTAATAGAATATATTCTTGCGAGGTTCTTCACGGAATCAAGATTACTGTAATCTCTACTATATAAAAGATCTACTCCACTAAAACTTGAGTTTATTATATGTTGGGCTATCTGACGGGCAGTCACACTTAGGCCCACAACAAGAGCACAAAACTTAAGTGGCCCACCACACTTATTTATATTGTGGCCAGCTATTACATTAGGATATACTTTAATTTCTTTTGTAATTGTATAGTTAGCTATCTTTGTAATTAGAACACTGAGGTATAAATAGAAGTGGGGGCCAAATGTTTAAGTGGCTCGATTCATTTTATTCTCTTTCTTCTCTTATGTCTCTCTGAAAGAATATTCCGGAACCCTAAAACTTCATTGATGATTTCTTCAAATCGAGCTTACTCATGGATGTTAACATGGCATCAGAGCAGAGAAAACGCATATCCTCTTCGTCCTCTATCGAGCGATACTAACCGTGTTAAGTTTTGTCCAATTTTCGATGTTTGCAATTTCGGTCTTTTTGATGAAAGTAGTTGGAGCGTGTTTTTTCTGGAATATTTATCGCTGGAATTGAAGATATCTTCTAGTTTGAGGTATTTATCTGTCAAAGAAGTTGAAGATCCAGAATTATGTATTAGACCTAGGGTTTCTGCGTGACCTAGGGTTTATCTGTGAGTTGATTTTGGGGATTTTGTTAGCTGTCGTCTTCTCAAGACCTTTGCTTCTTCAGGTTGCGAAAAAGTTCGGTATTTCTTCTATCTCGCTAATTTCCATTTGAGAATATAGTAAATCTGTGACTTTACGTGAATTTGTCATTGATATGGGTAGTTCCGGACCTAGTGCTTCTACTTCTATGTATACTTCCACTATTGATCCTTCTTCTCCCTTGTTCCTCTCATCTTCCAATGTTCCTGGTATTTTCCTCATTGTACCATTCTCGGGGGTTGGATTTAGAGGATGGAAACGTATTATGATAGTCTCATTATCTGCTAGAAATAAAATGGGATTCATTGATGGGTCATGCATCAAACCTACTGAAAACTCTTCTCAATATAGGCAATGGGATCGTTGTAATAATATGGTCATTTTATGGTTGACTCATTCTTTGTCACCTGATATTGCTGAAAGTGTACAGTACTCAGAAATTGATGAAAGTATATAGAAACAACTTAATAATAGATATGGGGCTATAAATGGGACAAAGGTCTTCGAATTAAAAAGGCAGCTTGCCTCCACTTACCAAGGATCTCTTGATATTGCCTCATATTTCAACAAACTCAATAAGGTTTGGGATGAACTGGGGGTTATGTACACCACTCATGCAAATCCATGTGTTTGTGCTGCAAAAGAAGGCCTTCAAAGGAAGAAAGAGGAGGACAATGTCCATCAATTTCTCATGGGACTGAATGAGGTGTATGTAGGGGTTAGGAGCAATATGTTGATGATGCAACCCCTGCCATCTCTTGACAGTGTGTATAATATTCTTCTACAAGATGAAAAGCAGAGACAAGTGAACCCAAATCCTTCTTTTCAATCTGAGTCAGCCTCCTTCAATGTGAATTCCTCTTTTAATAAATCCATTCAACCTCACTTTCAGCAAAAGCAGATCAATCCTCAAGCCCAAGAACAATTTCATCAAAGAGTGAATTTTGATCAGCCTAGAAATGTTGTTTTCTGTAAGTATTGCAAGAAACCTGCGCAAATGGTTGAAAATTGTTACAAATTTATTGGGTTTCCCTCTAATTTCAAGCTCACCAAAGGAAGAAAGGGAGCATCTAATATGGTTGAGAATTCTGATCTTCCTCATTTTGAATGTGTTCCTGCTACCCAGCCCACATAGCCTAGTGTTAGCCAACATGATCAGGGATCTGGGGTGCCTAGTCTGACCAAGCAACAGTATGGTCAGCTCATCTCTTTACTTCAGCAAGCTCATATGTCTGATTCTAGATCCGCACTCAACATCATGGCTTCTGCTAACTTTGATGGTACATACTTGCCTAAAAATGTAGCATATAGTTTTAATTCTGTCTTGCTGACTCAATCTGATTCCTTAACTTGGATAATTTATTCTGGTTCTTCTGACCATATGATATCAAATAAAGATTTACTCATTAATATCACACCACTACCAATTCCTTTTCTAGTTTCCCTTCCAAATGGTTATAAGGTCAAAGTTATTTGTACATGGTCTTTTGCACTAATTGATTCTACTATCTTACAGAATGTGTTATATCTTCCTTTTTTCAAACATAACCTAATTTCTGTGCACAGACTTACTGAACAATTTGATTGCATAGTTCCATTTACTAGAATTTCATGTATTCAACAAGGCCCTTCTCTTAAGAAGCCTCTGGATCTTAGTAAACTGGACAGTGATCTATACAAGTTCATTTGGGAAAAACCTTCTCAATCTCAGAGTATTATGTCTTCTGCCTACACTAGTAGCTTATCATCTTTGTGCACTTCTAGTTCTCCTTTCTCTCTTGTACAAACCGTTTCTTCCACATGTAATAAAGCTACTATAAATGACATGGATTGTGTTTGGCATAACAGGCTTGCACATGTTCCTTTTGTTAAAATGAAATATATCTCTGAAATTTCACATGTTATCTCATCTGTTCAGTCTTTCCCTTGTGATATTTGTCCCATGGCAAGGCAAACTAGATTGGCCTTTCCTGATAGCTCCATTCATACCTCTAAGCTTTTCCAATTGATTCATGTTGATACTTGGGGACTTATCACACTTCCACATATTCTGGTTCTAGGTATTTCCTTACAATTATTGATGATTTCTCTAGGATTACTTGGACTCATCTTATGGGATCTAAGAGTACTGCATTTTCTCTTTTGAAGGCATTTGTTGCAATAGTTAAGACTCAATTTCATTTAATTGTACAAAACATAAGATCTGATAATGCACTTAAATTAGGATCTAGTCATGTTTCCATTTCTTTCTTTTCAGAAAATGGTATTACTCATCAAACTACTTGTCCACACACACCCCAACAAAATGGTGTGGTGGAAAAAAAACATAGGACCCTACTTGAAGCATCTAGAGCTCTACTTTTTCAATCTAAACTTCCTATTAAGTTCTGGGGTGACTGCTTTCTAACAGCCACATATATCATTAACAGATTGTAACGACCCGACCGGTCATTTCGAGATTTATAGCCTTGTTCCCCTCATTTCCTGCTTCTTTTTGTGTTCTTCGGCTATATTATGATATACCGAGGTAGTTGGTTCGGGTTCGAAGTGGTTTCGGAGTGAATTTAGACACAAAGTCTCTTAGTTGAGAGCTTAAGTTGGAAGAGTTGACCGGATATTGACTTATGTGTAAATGAACTCGGATTTGAATTTTGATGGTTTCATTAGTTTTGTTAGGTAATTTTGGACTTAGGAGCATGTCCGGAATATGATTTGGAGGTCCGTGGTAGAATTAGGCTTGAATTGGCAAAAATTAAAATTTTGGCGATTTTGGCCGGTATTAAAAATGTTGATATCAGGGTCGGATTGGATTTCTAGAAGTTGGAGTAGGTTCGTGGTATCATTTCTAACTTGTGTGCAAAATTTGAGGTCATCCGGACGTGGTTTGGTAGGTTTCGGCATCGTTTGTGAAATTCCGAAGTTTAGAAGTTCTTAGGCTTGAATCCGGGCGTAATTTGGTGTTTTGATGTTGATTTGAGTGATCCGAAAGTTCAATTAAGTTTGTATGAGGTTGTAGGATATGTTGGTATATTTGGTTGCGGTCCCGAGGGCCTCGAGGTGATTCTGGGTGGTTAACGGAAGGTTTGGAGTTGGAGAAGTAAAGCTGAAGCTGCTGGTTCTTGTTTCTTCCGCACCTGCGGAGTGGGAACTGAAGGTGCGAGGCCGCAGGAGCGAAGGAAGAGATGTATGTGCGGCTAAGGGAGACCTGGGCTCAGACCGCAGGTGCGATGGAAATCCCGCATCTGCAGTGGTCGCAGAAGCGGTTTGGGAGGCGTAAATGCGCAGATGGATCGCAGGTACGGCTTGGGTCCCGCATCTGCGATGACCGCAGATGCAGTCAAGTGATCGCAGGAGCGGAGTCCGGCTTTTAATGAATTTCCGCAAAAGCGGTACCCGGTTTGCAGATGCGGTTCCGCAGGTGCAGAACTAGGACCGCAGGTGCGGTTTTAACTGGGCAGAAAACCCTAACTCGAGGCTTGTCTTCCATTTTCACTTTTGGACTTGGGGAGCTCGGGAGAGAGGCGATTTTTCGAAGGTTTTCAAGGAGGACATTGGAGTAAGTAATTCTAACCCGTATTGGTCTAATTTCCATGAATCTATGGCTTTGTTCATTATTTAATTAGGGATTGGAATTAGAAATTTGGGGATTTAGGGATTTAGGGCTTGGGAATTAGAGAGTGAACTTTGGGGTTTTGGAGGGGCAATTGAGGTCAGATTTTGATAAATTTGGTATGACTAGACTCGTGAACGAATGAGCTTTCGGGTTTTGTAATTTTTGTTGGATTCCGAGATGTGGGCCCGGGGGGCGGGTTTGAGCTGATTTCGGATTTTGGCTATAATTTGGTATTTTTCTTATGGAATTGGTTCCTTTAGCCTATATTGATTGTATTGTATTGCTTGTGGCTAGATTCGGGATGTTTGACGCCGATTTGAGAGGCAAGGGCATCGCGGAGTAGGATTTTTCTTGGTTTGAGGTAAGTAACGCTTCCAAACTTGGTTCTGAGGGTTCGAAACCCCAAATTATGTGTTATGTGATTGGTATTGAGGTGACGCACATGCCAAGTGACGGGCGTGTAGGCGTGCACCATGAGAATTGTGGCCTGGGTGATTCCATGGCACCGTTTAGTGACTCTATTCTGTTAATATCCATGCTTTCATCATGTGATAAAGTAATTGAGCTGTAAATCATGCTAGATATCATGTTTAGGCTTGATGCTGGTATTGTTGGGACCCTTAGTGGTCGTTTCTTGCTGTCATCTCATTATTTTCATTAATATTCCGTACTCAGTCATGTTCATGTATTTTTATATCATATCTCAATCTCGATTAGTTATTGAGTCATCATATCTTTGTTTCGGGTTTATTTTCAGGACATTGTGAGCCGTGGGTGAGACTGGAGAGATTGATGACTGAGTGAGGCCGAGAGCCTTGTTATGAGTGATATTTATGGGATCGGGATGCACGTCGCAGCGGTTATGTTGATGATTATGATAGCGATTGGGCTGTAGGAGCCCCTTCGGAGTCTGTAACACGCCCCTAGTGAGTGCGGATGATATTATTGAGGGATGGATTTCTATGGACATGGATTTGTCCGAAGTACTTGATACCTGGAGATGGATTTCTCCACAGGGTTAGATTTCCCTTTTTCCTCAGTATTGGTGACGACTTATAGTTAGTGTTGTATATGTTTCGGGGTGGATTTTCCTGAGCCGGATGGCCATATACAGTACCGAGTGGTTGAATACTTGAGAGTGGAGCACATGGTGCATTTCATACAGTCTGTGCATTGGCATGTAGAGATAGCTAAGTTGTATACCTTACAGTGTTCAGATCTGTATTTCCTTTACTGTTTAAGCTGTATATTTGACTTGAAAGCATGCCGACATTTCTGCACATTTATTTCTATTATACATGTTGAGGTTGAGTTCGTCACTACCTTTCAGTCCAAAGTTTGGACTTGTTACTTACTGAGTTGGTGTATTCATGTTACTCCCTGCACCTCGTGTGCAGATCCATGCGATACTGGTCGTAGTGGCGGTTGCTGATTGAGGATCCTAGAGTTTTGGAGACTATCAAGGTAGCTGCACTGCATTCGCGGGCCTTGACTCACATTCTTTATCTTTGTCGTACTTTCAGTTTATATCTCTAGACACTGTAGTAGACTATAATTCTGATCTAGACGCTCATGTACGCAGTGACACCTTGGTTTTGGGATGGATTGTATCACTTTGGGATTTTCTTATGTTTCAAACAGTTTTTCTTTAATGTTAAATGCTTTCGTTAACTTTTTATTCAAATTATTGTTGTTGGTGTTGGGTTGATGAGTTGAGGCTGGCCTAGTTCCACGATAGGCGCCATCACGATGGTTGATTTTGGGTCATGACAAGTTGGTATCAGAGCCAGATTACATAGGTCTCACGAGTCATGAGCGGGTTTAGTAGAGTCTTGAGGATCGGTACGGAGACGTCTGTACTTATCTTCAAGAGGCTGTAGAATCCTTAGGAAACTCCACATCCTTGAATTCTTGTCGTGCGAATCTGTTGATTCTAGCAACTAAACATATGTTGTTTCATTCTCTCATAGATGGTGAGGACTCGTACTACCGGGCAGGATGGACAGCCACCAGTACCACCAGCCAAGGCCGCGAGAGGCTAAGGGTGTGGTAGGGGCAGAGGTGCAGCCCGTACAGCAGCTAGGGCAGTACCTGCAGATCCACCAGTTGCCCCAAATCAGGACCAGATTCCAGTTATTGATGTACCAGCTCAGGCACCACCTGTGCCTATTGTGATTCCAGGCCTTCAGGAGGCCTTAGCTTAGATTCTGAACGTGTGTACCAGTCTTGCTCAGGCGGTCTCTGTTCCGGCCACAGCAGCCACTTCTCAAGGTGGGGGAGGTGCTCAGACTCCCGCTGCCCGCACATCAGAGGAAGTGGTATAGGGATTCCAGACACCGGGGGCACCACCAGCCCATCCGGTTACAGTTGCTCGGGACTATGTGGTTCCTGCTATGCCTGAGGATGAGCAGCGTAGATTGGAGAGGTTTGGGAGCCTCCAGCCTCCATCTTTCAGTGGTGTAGAGGGAGAGGATGCACAGGGTATCTTGGACATGTGTCAGAGGATACTCCGTACAACAGGA